CCTGCTGACACTGCTGCTCCCTGCCCCTCAGCTGGGCCACTGCGACTGAAAGGCTGCTTTGCAAACTGAAGCCCTTGGGGCATCTGCTTTCAGGAGCCCTACAAACCGTTGCCCTGGCAGAGCCCCAGAGCAAGAAGGAGCAGCCAAGGGGAAGAGGTGGCAGGCTTTTCTCAGGCTGGCTTTGGTGCCAGCTGGTTTGTTTGGGGAATGGTGACCTGGGAGCAACATGCAACCAAATGCAGGCAAATACTATTGCCACCAAAGCACTTGCTTCTCTGGTGCAGGATCATTTTTGAAGCCCTGTGACCAAGCTTTTCTAATACAAGATCTGATAGAAGTGTATATTTTTGCAGTACAATTATTAAAAATTAATAGAACCAGACTCCTGTGTTCCAGCTTCTGATGCAGGCCTTTTAAGTACCTCATATTAGAGAGTCATTAGGTAAAATAAAGAAACAGACTTCTGCAGCTGCACAGCAAGCTTTCATCTGGGATTTCTTAACCTCTGAACAGATGACTTTACAAACAAAACAATGTTGTTCTAATGCAGTTTAACTTTTCTAGGCAATAATAATAAACTTTTTTTTTAAGATGAAATTTGGCATTTAGATTCCCAAGGTTATGAGCACAGAATTGAAGTCATTACATTAAAGCCAATTGGATATCTTTATTAGTATTGTATTTTGTACTTGGGGGTGCTCTCAGACTTTGTGAAGATAAGAGCTCTGTGATTGCTATAGATGTTTCTATAAAAGTGATAGAAAAACAGGGTTGCTCAAAAGAAATTTCTATGAATCAGCCAGTGCAAGCTAAGACCAAATAAAGTTAATCACTTGTTTCATCATAAAGCAACCTTTTTTTAGAAATATTCAACGAAAAATTCTGTTGTTCACAATAAACAGAACAGTCTGGAAACCAATGAAACAGAGACGATAAAGTTTTATCCACAAAGGATAGTGCAAGGAGGTGGAAAAAACCCAATTAGCTAACAGATGTTCCAGGAACGAAACGTTACTAAGAAGGAGTTAGTTGTATGTTGTTTCCTCACCAAATTCTCACCGGACAACAAACGCAGCCTTTCAGCCAGAAAAGTTCACAAAACCAGTAGCAGCCTTTAATCCAGATTTATGTCCTCTGAGGATTTTCCCAACAGTGATGAAAGCTCCTCTTTATACCAGAGGAGGCCCCCAAGGCTGCTCTGAGGGTATGGTCCCGATGGCAAACGGTGCCTCAGCGTCCTTCAACCTCTAACGTTCTTTGCAGCATTTTTGTTAAGACACAGGACTAAATAGGAAAGGCACTGTAGCTATGCACAGAAAGCCCACCAAGGAAAATGAAATACTGCAAGAAATAAAGTTATGGTGACTGCTTATTTCAGATGGAGGCTTTCATCAAAGCTTTTGCTGCAAAGAAAAAGACTCCACATTTTATTCTGGATAAAGAAAACGTTCCTCAAAAAAACCCCAAGCCCCACTACAATCTCAAATCAGTTAAGTAGCTATTATTGCATCAGAAAGGATACATTCATTTAAGGCAGAAAAATAAATGATTGCTGTTATACTATTTATAAATTTATTCTGGTTAAAATTCTGCCAGCTCTCTGTATTGAATATACAGTGTCTTCTATTGAGCTGTTGATGACAAAGCAGCTTTTCCTTTTCTGCTGCTAGATGAATGGAATAACTAA